AATGTCAAAGTGTAAGGACAATAACCTTCGAGCAAATACATCCAGGTTTCACGATGCTTGATAAATCAAGAAGTACTTCTACCCTGACAGGTTCTTACAATCCTACCGCTGGTCCCAGCTGTGAAGTATTGATCAGAGGACGGAAAGTATGTTGGATGCAGTTGAAATCCATTAAATTTTAAACATAAGGACTGTCTACTGCTGTTAGATCACATTTTACTTTAATGGATAAAGTACTGTGAAGTCTGAGTTGGACAAGGACGTCTGTGCTGGATGTCAAGTATGCACAGCATCTTTCTACTAACCTAAAGAAAGATAGACGTGAGCATAGTAATGCTGTGTATAAACAGTGCTTTAAAGCAGACTTTTCAATAAGAGCTTAAGTGGACAGAGAATAAGTGTAGTACCTAATCTTTCACTTGTATTTCATTGTATGGTTTATTATTGTCCATTGCTATGTAAGTAAGGTGGCTAAATTGCATACAAATAGGCAGACAATGAATGGAGTACATACAAGGGTCAAATGTAATCATTCACTCATGCCTATTACTGTTTGTTAATGGGTGTATCATTGTCTCTGCAAACTGTAGACTGGTTAAATTCTGTACCCTCTGTAGCCAGTATTTCTCCAGGAGCTGAGATGGGCATTTCAATGGTAATTTTCAGCACTGCCTTCTGTGCTGCAATTGGGTAGTGAGATTCAGGTTTCTTTATCTTCTTGTGTTGTCTGATTATTATTAAAGCTGTAAATGGACTTACCATTTTTTTAGTGAAAACACTGTACAGAAAGCATTCTGTTTTGAAACGTACAGTGTGATAAATGACCCATAGCACTAGTGCCATCAAAAAGAGTTTGGGTTGATGATACAGTCATCAAAATGAATATTTGCAAATGCTACTATGTGTTTCAGAGTGCCGTTAATTCCATCCTTATTCCTGTAAATATCTTTATCCAGGGGCTACATTCTGAATTGAATCGTTGGTGGTGTTTTTTTTCCCCCCTTCATTATAATTACATGTCGCTAACAGATCGTGTCATCTGTACTTGTGTTAATGAAAAGGATTTTCAGCTCCTTGTGTCAGTGACGACCCATGTTTCACAGCACTGATAATGAATACCTAGACTATTCGAAGTGCTCCTGAAGGTCACTACACAAATGAGTTTGACTCCAGCAGTTTAAAACAGGTTATGACATTCATGTAACCACAGATAACATTCATGTCTACTTCTAGAAGTCTTTTCAGAATCTCACCTTGTACTGGGAACAATTCTAGAACAAATTAAGAAAACGTGGATTTTTACAGTGCCTTTTATAGCATCAAAATCCCACAATTGAACAATTTATCTGGAAAATTGTTGTCCAGCCTATAATTGTAAGCTTCAGTCTCAAAGTTGAGGCCCCAAACCCATAAATGTTCTGACCCAGAGATGTGAGTGCTATCAACTGAGCCACACAAATGCTTTTTTCTACAGATAAAAAGGAAAACCTGAATTCTGGAGATTTTAAACCGAATTGGAAATGTATAGCAGATCAATCAACATCAACAATGACTTGCGTTTATTTGTTATCCTTCACAAAGGTTAATGTCTTGGAGTAATTCACATTGGCGGGGTTGGATATTAATCAATTTGCAGTAGAAATGTTGGGATGAGGTTTGCCTTCAGATACATTGTCTCCACATTGGAGCAATTCCCAGTGATGTTTAGGCATTGCAGGCGGTTGATCAAACGGAAGGATTATTATTTTCATTTTAGAATAAACTATTGTCTGGGGAAATATGCAGCAGAATGCTAATTTTAAAATGTATTAGTTTACCTTTGAATAACGATTTTCTTTGTCTCAAACTGATTTTAATTTAAACTGTGGCTACAATACTTAAAGAGAAATTCTTTGCAAAAGCTATTAAGGAGGCATGGTATGTTTGGGCAGGATATATGCCTCGCAACATATAGCCTTATGGTTGCTGAAAGAGCAAAATGATCTGGAGAACTTATTCCGTGAATCCACAGGGAATCCCAGCCCTGTGTTTACTCCCATCAACTTTGTTTACTTAGGGGATAGAATAGAAACAACTCTAAAGAAGGGATAAGGGCTCCTAGTTGAATAGCTGGGAAATCTCCACATACAGGAGCTATCCCTCTGCCTTGCCCCTTCCTTCCCCATCTTCAGATCGCGTCTGAAAACCTTCCTCTGTGACCGTGCCTAAGACCTCCCCGCGGCTCAGCGCCGTGCTTCGCCACTGTCGAGCGATCTGGAACTCTACCCTCCGTGAGAGGCGTTATATAAATGCAAGTTGTTGTCATTATTGTAAAGCTTTAGGATTAGCTTTCAGTACAGAGTTACTGGGTGCTCTTGAGCACTGACCGCTCGCTGATGCAGCCTATGTTTTTCTGCCAGACGCATGGAAATGTTGCTTAAGTACTATTGATCCCTGCTTCAGTCATGATGACATCCAAGCCACACCTGATATTGTAAATTTTGAGGTGGGCATGAGCTAGGTACTTTGTTTTTTTTCCCAGCTTTAATGGCTTTGCAGTACATTGAGTGCAGGAGAAAGAACAATGTGCTTTTAATCAAGGAACCAGCTAGTCTGCGAAGCATTATTTCGGCACTGGATGGATATTAATTCTGCAGAAGACTGATGTTGGTGACTGTGATGGATTAAGCAGAGCTGTATGGAGACGCTTTTATTCCTGTAGCAGCTTTTTTTGCCACCTTTGCATCAATTTGCCTTAGCAGTAACTTGGATGTCAATGCCAAGCCATCACCTGGACGCCTGAAAGGAAATAACGTTTGGGTTCTTTGCAAGAGCTGGGCAGATGAGATGATGGTGTGACTTTCTTGACTGAGTCATTGATGTGAACTTCTTTCTCAACGTAAATTGCTGCTTGTTAATCAAATTTCTGGCAACATTGATCTCACCACTTGTTTTCCAGACAAGGTTAACCACTCTGCAGTGGTATATTCAGCAAAGCAATGTCTTGTTTGACGACAACTACTTCAACCAAAGCAGAGTATCAATGTACTAGATTCAAGAAAACTAAAGGCAAGAGGTGAATGTTTAGTGGCTAGTGTTCATCTTCTTATAATAATAACGTTGAAATACAAGTGACCCACACAGACTATTTGAGGTCATTTCCAAACTTTTACAGTACCAAATTTCATTTCTTCGATTAATAATAATCGTGGCATTTGATAAAGCACATTGTCACGTCTCAAGCGCTTTGAAGAATAAACTGTAAAGTGGATTGACTGCAAATACCATGGGCGAAATGCAGCAGCCAATTGCGCACAACAATTCTCCACCAACAGTCATTTAAAAATATATATTTTTGAAGGATTATTACCCCCCTGAAAAACAATCTGCCAATCGACTAACAACCAGGTTCCTACTTACTGCTAGGTAGACAGAGGCGTGTGGAGGAAGGAAATTTGACTAACTGTCCTGGCTGAGAATCAACCCCGAGTCTCCTCACTTGCGAGGCGAGTGCTCTAATCAATACGCTACATTACCCATAGTCTAATGCACTTCCAGCAATCCTGCTTAATCTGGGGATGATAAGGAACATCTCTCCACTGGAACCTGTAGACTGATGCTGAGAGTTATTGATATTATCTGTAAGAATACCCCTGGATTACTAAAAGGCACTCCTCGCCGGTCTCCCCAGCTCCACTATTCAAAAGATCCAGCTCATTCAGAACTCTGCCGCCCGCATACGTACCCGGAACAAACTCCATACCCACATCTCACCAGTTCTGGCCCAGGCTCCACTGGCTCAACATCATCGAACAGAGCGACTTCGAAATCCTCACACTTGCGTTTAAATCCCTTCACTCTCTGGCACCTCCCTACCTTTCCTCACTCTCCAATTCGCCACCCGGCGCCTCTGCTCAACTGGCACCGACCTCCTGCTCGTCCCTTGCATCCTCCATCCCACCATCGGAGATTGCGCTTTCAGCCGCTACGCCCCAAATCTCCTTCAATCCCTCCGCCTTGCTCCCTCTCTCCCCCTTTTCAAGTCCCGCCTGAAAATCTTCCTCTTCGACTGTGCTTCCGGCCACCCCTCGCCCCACCATCAGCTCAGAGTCAGGCTCTGCCATTGATAGCGCTCTGAGACCCTACCCTGCATGGAGGGCGTTATATAAGCGCACGTTGTTGTTGAGAAACTCTTAGTTTTCTGCGGAAGTTCTATGTTAGATCATTTTCACATACTTTGAACTTCTCAGCGACTCTTCACACTCGGCTCTTGTTAACCTTGTAAGACAAAGCATGTAGAGTGATCCGAGCTGGGCAAGCAGTGGGATGATTTTACCTTGTTTTAGCTGGTTTTACTCCAGCAGCACCCCAACACATACTATGGGGTCCCAATCTGCACCTAATTTTTTTAGTTAAGCAGCATATGCCCGTCCGGGGAGAGATTGCACAATACATTGGAGACAAAGTGCTATCTCTATGGATAGGTGGGATATCTATCTCTGCCTGGTTTGGAAACTCTTAAATGTGACGAGAGGTTTTGGTGTTTGCTAGACACTCAAGTGACCAAAAAAAAAGGACTTTGATAAAGTCAGCAGTAAAGTGATCAGGTTAATTTTTCTGGGCAGGTGCTGATCTATAAAACACTTAACTGATGAATGAGATCTTTGCAACATTATCTGTTCCCATGGTTGCCTCTTGTGCTTTTATTGCCTAAAATACTCTGCCTTTGGTTTGCATTTCAGAATTTTCTCTGGGAGTAATTTTGGAATTTGTTATTTGGTTCTATCTAAAATCTTGGACATCTTAATCTAAGCATTAAGTCAGTAAGCACACAAAACGGACTACTGTACAATTCTGCTTATTCAAAAATTGAAAACTGCAGCACGTCACTCTTTATAACCTGACTCGTTCTATTATCAGCTGTATATTGACAATAAATAATGCTCCATTTGAACTTGATGAATGTACCACAATGCTGCTTTCAATGTTTCAAGTATATATTTGCTGTGTTTTTTTAAAAGGTATTGAAGAAACGCAATGCTAAAGATAATGAGATAGAAGAGATAAAAAAGGACAAACATCTGAGATTGGAGAGTGAAAAGTGCAAGGTAAATGAATCCATGTTTCCATTGTACCTCCCTTCCAGCATTATTTCAGGGCTGAACTGCAAAACTAAGACTGTTTAAGAGAAAAAATATTTAATGAATACTAGAGATGAAGAGATGAATCTCTAGGCGTATGGCATGCTGGACCTAATGCCCTCTTACTTGTATTTTCGGAAAGGAAAGAAAAAGAAAACCTCGTTCCTTAGTTTCCACATACCTTAGCAGAATGAAAGATGAAGGTTACAATTTAATTATAGGGTCTAGATGATGTTTCTAAAGTGTTTTGAGATTCACAAGTGTATATGTTTGAATGTTTTTCCATTGCTACCACTTTCATCATAAGCATTAAAGGAATTTTAGTGCACTGTGTGTTTGTTTCTTAAGCAGTAGCATCAAGGGAAAAGAGCTAACTTGGTTGTCATGTGAGGAAGTTGAGTTTGCATACAGTATGATATTTATAATAGAATACAGTTGAAGTATATAATAATCCTTTGATTTGATATAGTACTTTATCAGGTCTTCAAGATGTCTCAAAACACTTCACAGAATATACTCTAAAGTGAATTGACTATATTTTTTGGGCAAAACGTGTCAGCCAATTGCAAAGCAGGTTCCCACAAATAGTCGTGGATTACGTGACCAAATTATTTTTATTTGGTCTTAAATTATGCAGTTGGAATATGTTGAAAATGCAGTGATTTTCATTTAGCTACTTCTGATTATTGGGCTCAGTAACTTCTCAATGTCAGTTCCCCGTTGATCAGCAAGCTGAGCGGGTTGGACTTCAGCCCTTACCTGGTCTGTATGGCTATTGGATAAATTCATTGATCCATCGGAAGGAGTGAGTTTTTTTTATATAATGGTCTTTCTAACTGTTTAGTTGATACTGAACAAACCCCATTGATTTTATGCCTGAAAATGTGGACGTCTATTGAATTTATAGCACAAGGCGTGCTGGGTTGTTGTTTGATATTGAACTACAGGAGAATTCACTGCTCTGGTATGGTTTGTATGACATGAAGGGCTGTTGGTACTGTAAAGGTGATGCAGAGGAGAGCAACGAGTTTGATCCTCAGTGATAGGAGGATGAAATATGAGGAATGATAGATAAGCTAGGGCTCTTGATCGTTGAAAAGAAACTTCACAGAGGGGATCTTATAGAGATAAAGTACTAGATTGAATCGAGAAACTAAACGCAGAACAATACCTTTAGAAAGAGATCTACTCCTGTAGCTCAGTGGTTAGAGCACTCGCTTTGCAAGTGAGAGACCTGAGTTCAATTCCAGGCAGAGGGCGAAACCTTGGGCAAGTTTCCTTACTCCACACAGAGCCTAATAATAATCCCTCCAAAAAAAAACAAAAACAATAATTAAATTGGTCATTTTCAATCTACGACTGTTTGTGGGACATTGCTGTGCGCAATTGGCTGCCGCGTTCGCCCACAAATATACAGTCAATTCACTTTACAGTGTGTTCTGTGAAGCGCTTTGGGACGTCCTCCTGACGTGAAAAGCGCTATATCAAATGCAAGGATTATTATTATTATTATTATTACTCAGAAGAGAACTCGGATTCAGGCTGTGAAGGACAATATTTAAGATGGACATTAAGCATTTCTTTGCACAGAGTAATAAGTAGGTTACTGGGAAGGGGAACGGAGGCCAAGATTCTAGATATGTTTGATCACAGGGTCATCCTGGAGGCAAATAACAATCCAAAGACGCTGTTTTCCACCGTGCATCATCTCCTCCGTGCACCCCCTCAAGCCCACTCTATCCTCATGTCCTAGACTTCTTTGTATCAAAAAAACCTGCAGTCTGGTTTTTGCTCTGACTGCCCTCAGTACAGAGACAGCGCTTGTCAAAGTCACAAACAACATTCTCTCTATCTGTGACCAGGGCTCCCTCTTCCTTCTCCGCCTTCTGCCTCCTGAATTTCTCCGCCACATTCGACACAGTCGACCATTATATCCTTTCCTCCCTCATCTACCTTAGTGGGACTGCACCATCCTTGGCTCTTTTCCTTATATATATGCTCCCTCGAGGTGATGTCATCCTCAGATACGGGATAAAGTTCCACATGTTTGCGGATGACACAAATCTACTTTGCCTCCTCCAGTACCAACTCCAGGTCCGCCGATGTTCTATTAGCTTGTCTGGCAGACACCAAGATCTGGATGAGTGTAAACTTCCTGCAGCTGAATATGGACAAGACGGAAGCCATACTCCTTGGCTCTCTTTAACGTCTTCACTCCTGTGGATCTAAACTCCTCAACCTCCCTGGGATCTCCCTTAACATAACGAACCAGTGCGTAACCTTGGCGTCCGGTTCGACCCTCAACTGTCCTTCCTTCCCCACATCTGGTCCCTGACCAGGACCGCTTTCTTCCACCTCTGCCACATTGTCCGCTTCCCACCGTACCTTACCCCAAATGCAGCCAAAACCCTTGTGCATGGGTTTTCACCTCCCGCTTGGATTACTCCAACGCACTTCTCACCAGTCTCTCCACCTTATTCATTCACAAGATCCAGCTCATTCAAAACTCTGCTGCCCGCATACTGACCCGGACCAAATTCCGCACCCCCATCACACTAGTTCTAGCTCAAGCTCCACTGACTCTCCATCAACGAACAGATCGACTTCAAGATCCTGACACTCGTGTTCAAATCCATTCACTGCATGGCCTCTTGCCTCTCCGACATCCTCACTCCCCAATCCACCAACCAGCGCCTCCGCTCGACTGGCACCGGCCTCTTGCTTGATCCTTGAACTGTCCGCTCCACCATTGGAATTCGTACTTTCAGCCACTACATCCCGAAACTCTGGAATACTCTCCCTCAATCTCTTCGCCTTGCCCCCTCTCTCCCCTCTTTCAAGTGACGCCTGAAAACTTTCCTGTTCGACCATGCTTACGGCCACCTCCCCCTCTCCTCGGCTTGGAGTCAGGCTCCGCCAATGTTAAGTGCTGTCAGACACTACCTTGCGTGGTGGGTGCTACGTAAGTGCAAGTTGTTGTTTAACAAAATGATTTTCTGGAAGGCTTTTGAAGAGTATGTGAGTGGATGTGAGTGTGAGAGAAGTGTCAGAAAGATTATGGATGAACAACAACAACAAAATTACATTTATAGAGCGCCTTTCACTTCGGGAGGATGTCCCAAAGCACTGAACAGTTAGTTGTCAGGGCCTGAGCATGGGGGAGGCGAGGGTGTAGGGGTGAGGGAAGCAGAGAGGTGGGAGCGCGACCAAAGACACGATTGAAGAGAAGGATCTTGAGACCGGGCTTGAAGGAGGCAAAGGAGAAAGCGAAGCAAAAGGGACCATGGGTTGGAGTTCCAGAGTGTGGGGGCAGAGAGGCTGAAAGCTCGGCCACCGATGGTAGGGCGGGTCGGGCTAAGACATTGGAGCAGAACGGAACCCGCTGAACAGAGGGAGCGGGCAGGTTGGTAGGGAGTCAGCAGGTCAGACAGGTAGGAGGGGGCAAGGCCATGGATGGCCTTGAAAGTGAGGACGAGGATCTTGAACTTGATCCTCTGGGGGATGGGGAACCAGTGGAGTCGGGCGAGGGTGGGAGTGATCGGGTCGCAGAGCCTGGTGCGTGAGAGTACACAAGCTGCAAAGTTTTGGATGATCTGCAGTTTGTGAAGGGAAGAGTTGGGAAGACCGATGAGGAGGGAGATTCCATAATGTGCAAAGAATGTATACAGTTGAGAATTTCAGATAACAGACCAAAAACATATCATGAAAGTTTGCAAGACTTATTTCAAACCCTGGCATTTGTGCTATCGATGGCAGATGAAGTCTAGTGGTGAGCGGTTGAGCGGAGAGTTGAAATGAAGTGTTTCTGCTTCAGGCGTTATTACACTCTGGATGCCACTTCAGCCATCTAAAGAAATAATAGCCCACCTTGTAGTTCGAATTGCAATCAATATTTTGTTATACCTTCAAAAATGCTTTTTTTATAAAAACACAAATTATGTGCCTGTTTTGAGTTGTGCACAGATTGTCCTTCGTGACTTGTTAGGGCAATTTCTCTGTTTTGTTATTTGTTGATACCACAAGGGAAGGTTTAGCCACCGATGTCAATTAATGTGGCACGGTGTAAAAAAAACTGTAACTCGGAACTTCAACCATGTGCCAATTATACCTGGAACTTTAAAGCTTTCAGTTCCGGAGTATAATTCATGTCACAGACAACAGTCTCGAATTGGGCTAATCATAGAATCCTAGAAATAGACAGCACAGAAGGAGTCCATTTGGCCCATCGTGTCTGTGCTTTGAAAAGAGCTTCCAAATCAATCCCACTCCCCTGCTCTTTCCCCATAGTCCTGCAAACTTGTCCTCCCAAAATAGTTATCTACTTCTCTCTTAAAAGTTGTTATTGAATCGGCTTTCGCCACCCTTTCAGGCAATGCATTCCACATCCGAATAACTCGCGGTGTAAAAATTTTTTCCCTCACCTCCCCTTTCTTTTAACAACTATTTTAAATCGGTGTCCTCAGGTCACCGACCACCCATCAGTGGAAATAGTTTCTCCTTGTTCACCCTATCGAATCCCCTCATAATTTTGAAAACTTCTATTACGTCTCCTCTTAACCTTCTCTGCTCCAAGGAGAGTAATCCTAACCTCTCTCGCCTCTCCTGATAACTGAAGTTCCTTATTCCTTGTACCACCCTGGTAAATCTCCTTTGCACCCTCTCCAATGCCTTGATATCCTTCCTAAAGTGTGGGGCCCAGAACTGAACAGTCTTTAACTGAGGCTTAACCAGTGTTTTATAAAGGTTCATTATAACTTCCTAAGTTTTGTATTCTATGCCCCTATTTATAAAGCCTAGTAGCATTTGATACACAGCCTTATCACGTCTTCGAGACGTCTCAAAGCACTTCACGGAATATACCATAAAGTGAATTAACTGTATACTTTGTGGGCAAAACGCGGCAGCCAATTGCGCACACCTGGGTCCCGCAAACAGCCATGGATTGAGAGACCCAATTATTATTATTTTTATCTATCTTAGCCCTAACCTCCCGCATGTTCCCTCTTCATAAGGCAAAATAAAAATATTCAATCAACAGATAGCTGATAGGAGGTGTATTATTGATTAGCTGAACGTTGTGACTGCAACAAAGTAGGTGAGATGGATTATTCACATTTTTAATGTATCTCGACCTCTTCTCTAATACAGAAAGGTTGTTCTTTTAAGCATTCAAAACATCTTGGCTTTGAATCTCTTTCTCGAAACAGAAAGCACGCTTTCAACGCACTTTACCTGACCAGTATTCCTACCTCATCCAAATGCCCCAAGAAACCAATTAATTAGTCACCTGACTAATTGTGGGGCAGAGCTGGCACAGATAAGCCATCAACGTACACTCATTCTCTTAATTCTGCTAATTACACGCTTTGTGACTTGTGTGTCTGGAAAGCAAACTCCCTTTACCTTTCTTAGCGAATTAGTTTAGTCTTCTTGTGAAGCAATTGCCATAAATGCTGTTTCCAAGCTATAAAATGATGTAGGAGTCATGCATCAAATGTAAGGATTATTATTATTTTTATTATCCCTAATTCTCACGACAGCTGGAACTGTATGCAGAACTCTAGGTGTGGCTTGATATGAGGTTCTGAACTCAACAGTTTGCATCCTGTTCAGTTTATTGCTGCCTCTCACTGTTTGACGCTGTGAGATATAATAATAATAATCCTTACATTTGGTATAGCGCCTTATCACGTTGTTGAGTCGTCTCAACGCGCTGTGGACTGACTGTGTGTTTTGTGGGCGAAGTGGACTGACTGTGTGTTTTGTGGGCGAAACATGGCAGCCAGTTGCATACACCAGTGTCCCAAAAACAGCCCTGCAGTGAGTGACCAATTTTATTTGTTGGCCAGGACACCCGGAGAGAGAAACTCCCTTCTCTTTTCGAATAGCGCCATGGAATCTTTAACATCCACCTGTACAGACAGACAGGAGCTCGGTTTAACATCTCATCTGAAGGATGATATGTGTCAAACCCACATCCTAGATTTCTTTCAGCCTGCATGGATGACTTGCTGTCCATATTAACATTTATGAAGTAATGTTGAATCTCTCTGTATTGAACTTCATTTGTCAGAAATCAGCCCGGGTGCGTCCCCTGTCTAACTCGCTTTGTAGCACGCTTATTATTATTTCACAGTCCTCTCTCTTCCCCTCCCTCCCTCCCTCCCCGTACCCCAGGCTTGGTGTTGTTTGCCCATGTATCCATGTTACGCTGATGCTTAATGTCTGGAACATGTAGACTTAGCAGCATGCCATAGAAAATTTATGACCCTGAAACTTTGCCCATGGTCAATTACTCTTTAACTGAGGCATGATTTATTAAACTCCACTAAAAATATTTAATTGGCTTGTGAGACACGCTTGGGAAGTAAACTTTTCAGCCAGGGATGAAGTGGTCCGCTTTGGTGGTAGTCAGAAATGGCTGTAATTAACACATTCCTCTATTGCTCTGACTCCGTGTATTGAAAGATCAAAGAACACGTTCGAAGGATTAACTGAGTATTAAACATCCAACATCATTTAAAATTGTAGCTTAACCCCTGTGCCATTTACAGTTTTCTTTCTAAATGATCCAGGTAATTTTTTTAAAAATAAAAACATCTATGATATTGATTTCTTACTGGATTTTCCCAAGATAAAAAGATGCCTTTGGGTTGAAATGAGTAGTTATGACATCGTTCTAGGTTTCATTGTGCTGGGATATTTTATCTTTCTTTGTTTTGGTCTCTCTTGAGTATTCTCCCAGTGTTCCTGAATGAGCATCCTGTGTAGATAGTCTTCTGTGTGTCAGCCTGGCTCGGTGTGGGTTCAAGCCTCACGTCGGAACTTGGAATCACATAGTCTTAGCTGACACTCCAATATAGCGCTCGGGGTATGTTGCATTGTTGGATGTGCCGTCCTTCAGATCAAGCATTGAACCAAGGTCTGCTTGTTCAGGTGGAAGTAAAAGATCCCTTGGCACTATTCGAAAAGAGAAGAGAATAAATAAATAAATCCTCCAAATAAAATTGGTCACTTACTCCATGGTTGTCTTTGGGACATGGCTGTATGCAAACTGGCTGCCGTATTATAATAATATAATCCTTGCATTTGTTATAGTGCATTATCAAGTCTTCGGGATGTCTCAAAGTGCTTCACAGAATATACTGTAAAGTAAATTGACTGTATAGTTTGTGGGCAAAATGTGTTATTTCTCCCACAAAATATACAGTATACAGTCAATCCACTTTGCAGTAAAATCCTGTGAAGCAATGACCTGATAAGTTATTGTATCAAATTAAAGTATTATTATAAAATTATTTGAACCAACAAATGCTAAACCTGCAAATGAATAGATCAGAACTCAACGCTGGAGCCAAGTCAGCTGTAATAAATGCAGAATGCACTTAATGTCTAGGGGTCAGGTCACCAGATCCAATGCCGTGCCTCGCCATTTCTAACTGTCTGAATTGTCTATTTGTGTTCCCATGTTCAGATTGAGAAAGAGCTTGAGCGCACACGGCGAAGGTTGGATCAGTCCGAGGGAAGTCGAGAAGCACTGCTGTGTCAGGTATCAGGGCTTCAAGCTTTCCAAATCTAGTTGCATTTCGTTGCACCTCCATATAACTTGAGAGTAATTGGCAATGATGTGAGAACAGTGGCTTCATCCCTCCTTCAATAGATCCTGGACACTCAAATAGTGAGATATGTAGAATTGTGGGAAAAGGGGGAAGACTAAAGGATTGCGAAAGAATGGCGCCAGGTGCAACAATTATTTACCAATCTATTAACAAACTATAAATCTATTTAATCAAAAGAGAGTCCTCTAGCGTAGTGGTTAGAGCACTCGCTTCGCAAGCGAGAGGACCTCGGTTTGATTCCCGGGTGGGGAGAAACCTTAGGCGAGTTTCTTTACTCCACACTCTTCTGTTTACGCAGCAGGAAGTAGGGGCCCAGTTGTTAGTCAATTAACAGATCGCTTTCCGGAGGTTATAATCCACCCCCCCACCAAAAAAAATTGGGTCACTCTACAGTGTTTGTGGGACATTGCTGTGCGCAATTGGCTGCCACATTTCACCCACAACATATACAGTCAATTCACTTTGCTGTATATTCTGTTAAGCGCTTTGAGACCTCTTAAAGACGATATAAGGCGCTTTATCAAATGCAAGGATTATTATTATAAGGATAATTATTATCAGTAAAGCATGGCTTCCCTCTGAGGCCTCTCCCTCAATCACTGTCGCTCACTATATCCAGTAATAATTGGACACCTTCATTTGGACCATCTAGTGTGGTAACGGTCACATGTAGTTTTGTACCTGTCTCTACCTGAGAACTTTATTTCTCTTTGAAGACCTACAAGATTATTGTTTTCCCTATTTTCCATCACTCCACTACACATTTCCAATGATTTTTATGTTTAGCTACTGAACATATCTACTGTAGAATAGTGGACCCATCAGCTGCACGTTGCAGGGATATGAAATGCAAACATGGTGATGCTCCACTGATCCAATGCCTCTTATCTTCTGAATGTAGATAGATGGTTTACGCTCCCAGCTGTTGAAGACTGAAGAGGATCGAGCAGACTTACAACACAGAGTTTTGCAACAATCTTCACAGCGGAATAGTTACGCGGAGAAGGTGGATGAAAGACCAATGCTAAGAGGTGACAAACTAAACCGTGCACCAAATTTACTTTTTTTTACTAATTTACTTAGATTTGCATCTTTTTATGGTGGGGCACTCGTCGTACTTTCATTGAACAATATTTTATACAGATTGTTGAGTGACTTTTATGATTTTGACTCAAAAAAAATTCTTGCTCTTGTCTGACGACGTTTCAATCGATTAATGTCACGGATGGGATATTTGGGGCTTGTTACTTTGACCTGACAGGCTCAGACTTTATACACTAAATGCTTTTCTTTTACTAGTAGTTTTTTTTATATAGTCATTAGGACAAAATTCAATTCACTTATGGTATGATTAGTTGGTTTGAATGGATTGAATGTAACAAGGATCTCGACGTGTGACCTTATCTTAACCTAAATGATTTTGTTCTCTTAATTTTTAATGTCTCACAGAATTGTGGAAAGTTCTTAAACGTTTTCTAAGTTTGCAAGACGGTTATTGTTTTTAAGAACTTAACTCCCAATTAAGATTGAATTTAATCATTTTCCACAAATCAGTGATGTCTTGGGACTTTGGGACGTCCTCCTGACGTGAAAGGCGCTTTATAAATGGAATCTTGTTGTTGTTGTTGTTGTCTTAAATTTTTAGAGAGAAAGTGATCTCATCGGTTGAGATTTGGTAGAGTTTGGGGTCTTAGAGGAGCATTGCCGTGGGAGATTTATCAAAATGTTCCCGAGTCATAGTGAGATTTCTGTAGCTAGGATCACCTGTAATAAAATGGATTTTTTTGGTTTGCCCGTCAACTGGTTTCAAAGTATTTGTGGCCACAGGAAATGCTATATTGCAACTCTGTTCCTTTCCAACTGACAGCTATTTTCTCGGTTTTATTAGATTGTACTACTTGTAGAAGAGAGGTGAGATTTTGAGGTTAGGAGGTCCTGCATGAAATTTGGCTTTGATGGACTGTTTTGAAAAGTATTTCAGTTGCAAGAAATTCGTGGTGCCATAGGCAGCCTTCTGTTTTATAAGCCCATATGTAGGTTTGAAGGAATGTGAACTCCTGGCTGATAAGAAGTGACATGTGGAATTTACTGATTGACTGACTACAAGCTTTAAGTAGTTTTTGAGGTCACAAAAAAGAATTCCACTGGCCAATAGATAGGACACAGCTGAAGCACCTTACTGCTGCTGAGGGTAAATAAAATCCCATTCCTTGTGTGATTAGTTTGAAAATATTCTCTTTTCGTAGTGGAGATTGAGAACTGGAGAACTTATCAGATGTAGCTCAGTGAGTGTGTTGACTTGCAGTGGGACTGAATATGCTTAGAGTACTGAACCTCGGAGCTCCTCCATTACACTTGTACATGTCCCTTATTTCTGAAATTTACATTCTATTAGATCATGGCTGATCTGTACCTCAACTCCAATTACCCGCCCTTGTCGCATATACCTTGATACGCTTACCTAATAAAAATAATACCCTTACCTAACAAAACAATATTGATTTCCTCTCCCCTCTACCCCCCTCCCTCATTTTAATATTTAGAGAATCAGGAGAGGAAGAAACAATGGCAATTTTCTTCCCCTTGAAAATGATGGATATTTTGAGAGTTGATGCTCTCTGGGAGTCGAGAAAGTGCAGCCTAAGGGAAATAGGGCAGTTAAGTTGAAGGATGATAGGGATCTCAATGGTAAATTGAACAATCTTTCCTCGAGGGGAAGGATGGATCGGGAGTAGAAGTTGAGAAGATGTAAAGGACACGGGTAAGGTGAGAGACTTATTTCCCGAGGACAATTGGCTCAATACCACGGGGACTGGAGGACTTGTGTGAATCCAGAGAGCTGGGGATTGAAAACCCATGTGGTCACGGTGGTTGAACAGAGTGAAGCAATAGAAAGGTGGTATTGTCAAGATCAAGTTTAGAGTGTGAAAAAAATGTGATTCATCTTTCCTGGAGATATTTTTAAGCCAGGACAATGAGCATAATAATAATAACCCTTGCATTTGGTATAGTGCCTTATCATGTCATCAAGATGTCTCAAAGCATTTCACAGATTATATTGTAAAGTAAGGGGACTGTATTTTGCGGGTGAAACACACAATAAAAAAATCAATAGGCTGTTTGACAGCCAGATTCTGTTCTCACCCAATGTCCATGCACACACATCTCCAACAGAGTTTCTTGGTTAATGATCTGAAGAGGGAACTCTTGACTTGCCAAACACAAGAGACTCTGAGGCTAATTGTGGGCCCAACTGCTGCTCAAGCTGAGTTCAGTTAATCAGCACAAACTTTGTTGTTGGTGGAGTGATTGCACTTGTGTCCCCTTTTCCTAAATGTTTCTATCTCTTGTATTTCAGCGGTTGACAGATCAGAGCGTGAGAAGCGAGAGCTGGAGAAACAGATTGTGGAGCTCACTGCGGAGCTGCGGCGCAATGCTGCCATGTCGGAGGCAGAGGACATCAAACGGTCCGTTGATCGAAAAGACAGGGAACAATCTGAACTCGCCGCACATGTTGAGGTATCTAGGTTGGACCCTGGGCTGGACTGGTGGTGTATGCCTGTGTGTGTCTGGAGAAATGTTTTAACGTTGATCTTTTGTTGCGAAAGGTGTTTGTGCAGTCCTTTATATTCGTTTGTTCTACTTCAAAGGAAAATATTCAAGTAGCCTGCATTTTCGTTAGCCTGTTTGGGATTTTCCCAATTTGTCACCTGGCAAATAATAAAAATAATAATAATAATCCTTACATTTTTGACATAGGATCTTATCGCGTCTTTGAGACATCGCCAAGCGCTTCACAGAATATACTGTAAAGTGAATTGACTGTGTATTTTGTAGACGAAACACGGCAGCCAATTGCACACAGCAGCGTCCCACTTTTGGGGAAAAGTAATAGGAGATATGTTATAACCAAGGTCCAACATTTGGGAAAACAATGGTCAGAGATATAGGCTTATCTCCCAGTACACTCCATACTGATTCCCAGATTAACAAGAATCTATTTTTAAACGTTTTTTTCTGCCTTTCTCCTGCCCTACACCGGGACTGCTGCAAAGTCAGTTGGATAGAGAAAATGTGGGGTTATCCAGGTGGCCGCAGTTGTCTTTTTCTGATCTCGGACATTCCTGACAATCCTCTGATCAAGTGTGGCAGTGAAGTATTTGTCCCTTGATACCCACTCAGAATTTGTTTTGTCATTATCGATCATTGTTTCACCCACAAAATACAGTCAATGAGTTCAGTTTACAGTATATTCTGTGAAGCACTTTGAGACATCTCGAAGCCGTGATAAGGCGCTGTATCAATTACAAGGATTATTATTATTGATCGAAGAAATTAAGTTTGCTACTGTAAAAGTTTGCAAGTGACCTCAAATAGTCTGTGTGGGTCACTTTCATTTCAAAGTTAAATTCAGAGTTCACTCTTATGAACTGCGGATAGATATATATAAATTGACAATAATTAGTGAATCATCCAGCCATCTCTAGAAGTATATTCTAACTTCTCTGCAGCCATTAGTGTAAGGGTTATGGAGACCTGGAGTAGAATTTAATTTTCCACTTGACTTAGTATGACCGTAGCTAAACTTATTTCAGAAGCAGCACCTTGTCATTACATTGATATTATGACCTCGCCTCTTGCCTGCAAGTGCCCATTTCTGCTGAGGCCAGTTATCATTTTGAGTCTCCAGAACTCTTGGAGTGAGATTCCAAGACTCAAAGTGCTTATCGCAAATTACTCCGGACCTGACAAGGAAATGGTTTTAACTTGTATTCACCAGTATACGCCAGGTTACAAGAGTGCAGATAATGGCATCTGAAGTTTTACACTGACTTTCACAGTTGCAGTATTCTCAGCAAATCGGTTTTTCATTGATTTTTTTTCAACGGCAAGTTAACTTTTATTAACACAGGCACATTAATACCTGTTGGGACATAAACGTGTCAAGCATTATGTCTTCAATTTGTTCTTCTCTCCCTTCCTTCTCCCCATTTTGATTCTTGTGATAAAGAAACATGGTGGGAGGACAGTCAATTAACTTGTACTCTGTTAAGTAATGATTAACACTCGGAGGTTAATGCCGGCTTGACTTGCCCGGTTTCGAGTAGGATTGCTGATGAATTGACCTTGAATGTGGAAGGTTCATAATAATGCAATTGAGAGCAGAGACAACCCTGCCAATGACTTAATGTGAGTCATTGTTGGCAGGTTCTGGAAGCAAATCTTGAAAGAGGGTCAGCTGGAGTCATTGATCATGTTAGAAAATCACTTTAACAAGTGCCTCAGGGACCATTGTATTGGTGTTATGGGACAGTTTCTACAGCAATTGGAGCAATGGGGCAAAACCTGCCAGCGTAAAGTTGTTAAGTCATAACCTGTGATGCTTTTGTGCTGCTGTGCTTTTCTACGCCAGCGCTCTGAGACACTACACTGCGTGCAGGGCCCGCTATATAAATTATGTTTGTTGTTATACTTCACTGGGAAAGGTAAATATACTGGAGTACATGTTCTGAACAATTTTCGTCTTATGTACTGGCTAGAAAGCATAGCTGGTTCAAGTGCTCCGTGAAGTAACCCCGCATGAGGGGGCGCTATACAAGTTGTTGTCGTTGGTTCCACCTCCAATAGCAATGCTTATTTTGTCATTGACACCTGCCCCAGAAGTCCTGGAGGGAATCCACCTAGTTTGAGGAGTCTTGGGCCTTCCGCAGTGCAGTGCTGTGTCACTTTACACGCTTTAGAGCATTATGAGCTAATCACTGTTAACTTTGCTGAAATCTGGAAACTCTTGACTGCTGATAGCTGACAAAGCACATTGTCCAAAAGCTATCTGAGAAGCTTTTTATTGCAGTGAGTTACGGATTGAGTGTGCTGATATAATCTAATAATAATTGTCATCAGCCTAAGCACAGATGCACTAAATGTTCTTGTTCTTTCCTTATCACTTTCTTCACCAAGAAAGTTATGAATGAAATCCATCTCCGGTGGATGTGCCCAAAGATTATATAATAATAATAATCCCTGCATTTGATAGAGCACTTTATTATGTTGAACATCTCAGATTACTTCACTGGATTACTGTAAAGTGAGGTAACTGTATTTGTAGGTAACTACAGTAAAATTCACATAAATTGTATCAGTTGGTACTATAACATTTAATATAATTTATACAAAGTCCGAGTTGCAGGCAAACTATATAGATCATATAAAATCCAATTTAATCAATAATCCACGCTACACATGTGAACTTCAATGCAGCCAATAAGTGCACACGCGGTGACGGGTCAAGACTACATTTCCCGCGATTCAATGACCCGTAGTTGCATGTGCACTTACCGGCAAGCATTGGAATCACATCGAATCGCTAGAAATCAAGTTCTCCTGCGCATGAGTTGACAGATTAAGACTATGTTTCCCGCGAACCAATGCAGCCAGCCTGAAAGTGCACATGAGTCGAATCACAACATCATTTTAATGCACGATTCAAAGCAGCCAGTTGGCTCCGGGAACAGTGAAGGATCGGGGAATGACATTGCAAGTTAGGAGATCATTAATATGAATAGTGTAAAGAAATCTAAGCGATTTTGATGGGAAACTGAATGGGACGAAGCGCTCCGGGATACTACCCCGCGTGAAGGGCGCTTTATAAATGCAAGTTGTTGTTGACTCTGGTGAATGTACGATTTGGGAGATTATATGATTTATAAAATTAAAACATGTGCAAGTTTTACTATATTTATATTTATAATATTTATACGAGTTTTACTGCATTGTCCATGCAGTTGGATTGTGTTCTTGTTCTTTCCTTGCTTTCATCAGTAAGAAAGTTGTAAATTAACTCCATATCACCAAAAAATCTGACCACTGATCAGGTAGATGGTCAGAAGTTGGTTGTGATTGTTCTGAGATGACAATTTGGGGAGTATAGATAATATTAATATTAATCCCTGCATTTGATACAGCGCCTTATCACGATTTTGAGACGTCTCAAAGCGCTTCACAGAATATACTGTAAAGTGAATTGACTATATATTTTATGGGCAAAATGCGGCAGCCAATTACAACAGCTGTGTCCCACAAATAGTCATGGATTGAGTGACCATTTTTTTTAAAAAAGGGCTTATTAGCCCCGGAAAATCACATTTACATTTTCCAATCGACTTAACAACTGGATTTGTACTTATTGCTTGGTAAACAGAGGTGTGTGGAGTAAGGAAACTTACCAAGTGTTTTGCCATGCCCAGGAAACAAATTGGGAGGCGAGTTCTCTAACTGTTAAGGCTACAGGACTCCACTTAAATGTGTTTTGGGTTGAGAGGAAATTTGAAAAGGACAGTTCCAGGCTGTATCTTGGTCGCAGTTTGCAATTCCGTCTTATTCTCCATTGGTTGGTAAAAGTACAGACCCTGCACCTTTGCACTTAAATCGAAATTTTCAGTAAAAGCACAATTTGACTAGCGACGAATCACTTTTGGAGTGCTTCAAATGGGAGTGGATTATACCCTCAGCACTGCCGTTTTTTTCACCTCGATGAATTAATTGAAAATTGAAAAAAGAAACGGACCTTGAAAAGGCTGGTTTTTCTCCAGTAAAACTTCTCTGTCAAACTCACCTGAACGTGGTTTGGATCACTTAACTTTTTATAAATTATCCAATTTCAGTGATCTGTTAATATTGCTTAAATTGTACTGCACAACATTGCCTCTCAGTGGGAAGTTCAATTGCTGTTCTGTGAATCCAAAAATGCAGCATACTATGTATTGCTAACCCGTATTACAATTGATGGGAGGAAATTGTGTTATAACAACCCCTTGAGGAAACTTTGCATATCATTAGGTTTTCAAGAAGAGTACATTATTGCCCCTGCATAACCTTAGCTCTCTGCAGAATTGTGTTTTATTGTCAAAAGCCGAAGTCTGTAGTCCTCAGCTGAAACGAGTGTGTCAGAGCACAAGTAAATCTAATAATCCCTGCAGTTGATCTAGCGCCTTATCATGTTGTTGAGACATCTCAAAGCGCTTCATGGAATATATTGTAAAATCGATTGACTGTATTTTAGAATTAAAATGATAGAAAATCTGCATCTGTATCAGTTAGGTGATGCCAGTCTTGAATATTAAAAGCCGGTTAAGTAGTTGGGAAGGGGAGTTCCACTATACAGAATATATAGGATGAAGTTCCACTATACAGAATAATAATAAGTTAGAATAGGTTTCAGTGCATTTATTCTTGGTATCAACAGTCTGCATACAGAGATTAAAAAGAGTAGGCAGGATTTTGCATTTAAAGCTTGAGAGAATTTTTTTGAGAGGATATCAGTAAAATTATACAAAGGGTTATGGTGGTTTGAGGCCAGAGGTGAGAGAAGGATCATTTGTATGACAGCAAGCGCTTTATTGGATTCTTACAGGAGTGTGAAAGAGTTGCTAAGAGACCTTCCCCAGATAGGGAAGCAGCACTTGAGTCTTAGATGTTATTAGTAAGAATCCTTACATTTGATACAGTGTCTTTTATGTTAG